TTCAACATGTTAGATCAGTGTTCGGGGTCTAACATAAAACATGTCAAACACAAAATTAACATTCGCTGAACGTTTTCATGTTACTTGGGTTACTGCTACAAAATTACTGATGATATTTGTGCCGAGCATAGCTAGTAATATTTTTGTGCAAGGGATGTCGTTCACATTTCAAAGAGAAGTATTGTATTTTTTCATGTAACTCTTTAAATATCGTTGAAATTTTGAATTTAGAGGTAGAGTTTACTTATGTTTCTAAAATAGAGGCTACTAAAGTAGCCTCTAAATTACAAAGAATGCATGATCTATTCGCGACAATAATGAAGAATATGGATACAAAAAAGATATGCTACAAACATATTTAGTTTGATGAAGAATGAAAAAGGGGGTAGTGGCAACTAAGTAACCGTCAGTATTATGCAGTCCGTCGGTTGTATTCGAAGCTGGAGGACGTTTTGCGTCATCTTGCGTAATACTGATGGTTACTTACAAGGGAAGCAAGTGTAAAATTAAAAAAAATCTGAAACTGTGCATAAGTTTATACTAGATGGACCTAATAACTAAGCAATTTTTTTTAGCTGCTAATATTTGGGTGTAGCGATTGAAACACTCTCTTGAAAAAAATCGGTATTTGTTTTGGCGATAATCGCTTATTCTAAGCGTATATCGCCAAAACAATAAAAAAAATGAAAACAGGTTTCAATTAAAAGTTTTATGATTGTAAGAGCTTTTTATAACGGCGTAATTAGATTTTTCAAAAATGATAATTTCTTCAAAATATCTTTATCACTCATTGTTTTAAATTTGAATTTCAAATTTTTCTTGACATTAAATTAAAGTTTATTTTACGTCAATGTCAACCATATATATAACAAAGTTGTGTTTTGTAAATGCGTTTTTGGAAAATAAGCTGAAAACGTCTTTATAGACATAGTGTATCAGTCCGCTGCTTGACTACAACGGCTTCTCTTTTTTTCCTTTCTTCCGTAACTTTCTGCAATACGATGATACGATGAAACAGATTTATTAATAAAGAATTATGTTAATAAATTTAATCACGTAAGTGATTTTTTTGTATATTACATATTTTATAAATACATAATATAGCAATCACAGTATATACAGGGTGTCCCAGAATTGGTGTAATATCTCTCGTAGACAGGTAGAAGAAATAAAACTAAGTCGATAAGTTCTATACCATTTTGCTAGATTCGCAATAGTTACTGAGATTTTAACTAACAAAGATCCGCGAATAAGCGTGCATCGGGCTGTCTTACGCGCGTAGGACAGCCCGGCGCGCTTCGCACAATTACATTTTAATATGTATATGTCATAGTATATGCTGTTATAGTAGCTCCTCCCATATGGTCCTACGGGTAACACCGTAAGCGCGCGAAGCGCACTGGGCTGTCTTAAGCGAGTAAGACAGCCCGATGCATGCTTATTTGCTGATCTTTGTTAATTAAGATCTCGGTAACTACTGCGAATCTAGCAAAATAATATAAAACTTTTTGACTCAGTTTTACTCCTTCTATTTGTTCATGAGAGATGTTACACCAATTTTGGGACACCCTGTATTTCGTAAGAGGAAAATTAATTTATCGAAAAAATAATTTCTAATTTAGACCTATACTTTTGATAAAAAAAACATTAGAGATTATTTAATAATAAAATGATACAACGCAATGAAATAAACGGATGTATTAACGTAATATTTCCTGTTATGTGCATTATTATATAAGTATCAGTAACATTATAAAACTAAATATTAGATGCGCAACTAAGTTCCCGCTGTTTGTCAATAGATGGCTTCCAGCAGTAAGTGCTGGTCGATTTTGACATATCCAAAACGTCACGAGCCAAGCTTAGACATATGGTAAACAAACCGCTTTGACACGTTAGTGATTTTGTTTTGACGTCATATACTTTTGGTTGTGTGAAAATGTCTGATTTTGTACCAAATAATCGTCATTTGCGGGAAGTGTTGATTTTCTTATTTTATTTGAAGAAAACGGCGGCTGAAGCGGATCGAGAGCTCCAAAAAGTTTACGGAGATGCTGCTCTAAGTGAAACAACGTGCCGTGATTGGTTCCGTCGCTTCAAAGACGGTGATTTCGATGTTGACGACCGTCCGCGTGAAAGAAGGCCAAAAACCTTTGAAGACGCTGAATTAGAGGCATTGCTCGATGAGGATCTATGCCAAACGCAAGAACAGCTTGCTTCAGCATTAGGAGTTACCCGCCAAGCCATTTCCAAGCGATTGCATGCGTTGGGAATGATTCAAAAGCAAGGAACTTGGGTTCCTTATGATTTGAAGTCAAGGGACGTTGAGCGTCGTTTTTTCGCCTGTGAACAACTGCTCCAGCGGCAAAAAAGGAAGGGTTTTCTTCATCGCATCGTGACGGGTGATGAAAAATGGATTCATTACAGCAACCCAAAGAAAAGAAAGTCATGAGGACTGCCCGGTCATGCTTCTACGTCGTCGGCTCAGCCGAATATTCACGCTGCAAAGGTTATGCTGTGTATTTGGTGGGACCAGGTCGGTGTTATTTATTATGAGCTGTTGAAACCGAACAAAACCATCACTGGGGAATATCGGTAGCGAATTCAATTGATGCGACTGAGCCAAGCACTGCGCGAAAAACGGCCACAATACGAGCAGAGGCACGAAAAAGTGATTCTACTGCATGACAACGCTCGGTCTCATGTTACCAAACCCGTTAAAACCTACGTGAAAACGCTCAAATGGGAAGTCCTACNCCACCCGCCATATTCCCCAGATANTGCGCCGTNCGATTATTACTTGTTCCGTTCGATGGCACATGGTCTGGCTGATCAGCAGTTCCGCTCATATNAAGACATCAAAAAATGGCTTGATTCGTGGATAGCCTCAAAAGACGAACACTTTTACCGTAACGGTATTCGAGCTCTGCCAGGAAGATGGGAAAAAGTTGTAGCTACCGATGGGCAATACTTTGAATGATTCATTTGTAACCATTTTTTCACAATAAAGTTGCATTTTCAAAACAAAAAAAATAGCGAGAACTTAGTTGCGCACCTAATATATTACGTCTAATACAGCATTAAATCGATTTATTCATACAATATTATACAGAAATAGATCCAAAAAAATCAGAAAACATATGTATGTGTGTATGTGTACGTATTAAAATCCATGTATTATACTGCATGTCTCGTTCTCAATGATAATAATGTAGTCATGCTTGTCATGCCTCAATTCACAACGTTAAACGCATAAAGGATTTCAAAAAGGTGGCGCTCTGATCGCTACCCTTCCTCGTTTCCCGCTGTTCAGCTTCATATTGTTTCGTTGTGCCAACAAATCAAACGTTTTTTCGCACAAACCTCGGAAAGACAAAAACTTCGCTACGTTATACAACTGTCGACATGCCAGACAAGAAAAAGAGGAAGCGCTCGAGATCTTGATCACGAGAAAGTTATCACTCTAAGCGGAGATACGATAAAGAACTGAGTAATTTGCAGGAACAAATACATAACCTAACAAAGGTTGTCGAGTCGTTGGTGCATGGTAATATAAGACAAGCTTCACCAACTTCCTTGCTTACCGAAATTCGAGGTAAGCACCTTTGCTCCATATATGTATGTGCAATCTCTTCTTTCCACACGAAAGTTGAGCGGCTAACCCACACGGTTTGCCTACGTCCATACGACATGCCGCGAGTATCATTGTGAATTTAGTTCAATAAGAACGTAGATATCACATACGCACAATAAGTGCTGCTCGTTCATTCTTCCACGTTTTTTCTTTCGAATTTTCTTCAGACGACGAAGAAAATAAGGAGAATGATCCAGGACTTGCGACTCCTTCACATAAGGGAGACATACTCACAAATGAGCAAGTAAAAGACAGCGCCCTGAAAGTCTTAGGAGTAGACCCGAACTTTTGCACGTTCAAAAAACTCACATACCACCCGGAACTGAAAAATACATGGAGCAAATGGAAAAATGGGCTTCCAGCACAAAATAAGAAAGACATCGTCGAATCCTATGATCGCAAGGGCGATTTCTATATGGAGGCTCCGAAGTTAAATCTGGAAATACTTCCACTACTGTCTGACATTGCAAAAAAGAGAGATCAGCATTTCGTGCAGACACAAAATTGTGTCGGCACCCCCATAGCGGCACTAGGTGCCGCAGTCTCTCTCTTACTAGAACCTCCTCAGGATGGCTTAGACGAAGATTTATTTACAGACTTAATAAGCCATGCTGGACAAATTCTTACCGATGTCTTTCATCAACAATCGGTAGCACGGAAATCCTTTATTACACTACAGTTGAATAAAAGTGTCAAACCAGTGGTCGAAACAATTATTTCGAACGAATGGTTGTATGGAGACAATCTTAAGGACAAAGTAAAGGATGTTAAAGAGATTGAAAAGGCCTGCGCAGAGATTCGGGACAAGGTCCCCCAAAAAAGCAACACAAAGTCTCAGTTTTAGGGAAACTGGAAATACCCACCTGCGGGATACCGTCAGGTAGGTTATCAGCAAAGACGTCGCCAAATCAGGTTCAAACCGAGGTCGAGCAAGTCATCGCACGGTGCGACCAAGACATCTCAGACGACGAACCAGTCATCGTTCAAGAAATAAGCAAGGTAGATAAGTCAGCAGGACGTCTTCGCAGCTTTGTTAGTCAATGGAAACAGATCACGTCTGACAAATATATTTTAAGCTGCCTAAGTGGATATCGCATTCCGTTTACGGAGACACCTTTTCAAAGGTCTTGTAATGTGAGAAACTTATCGGCGGAGGAAACAGAAAATATGCATACGGAAATCGATGAGCTCTTAAGAAAGGGCGCCATCGAGGAGTGCAAGGAATGTGAAAGACAGTCCGTCTCTTCTTATTTTCTCGTCCCCAAACCTGACGGATCTCACCTGTTTATTCTTAACCTTAGAAGCTTAAATCGCTTTATTAATCCCCCACATTTCAAACTGGAAGATATCCGTTCTGCACTTAATTTAGTGTCACGAGGGGATTTTTTGGGAACGCTAGATCTCAGGGATGCATATTTTCTCGTTCCTATTCACGCTGACTATAGAAAGTTTCTTAGATTTAAGTTCAAAGGCAAAATGTTCCAATTTGTATGCTTGCCTTTTGGTCTCTGCACTAGCCCATACGTCTTCACCAAGTTAATGAAACCTATTGTTAATACACTGAGACAGCAAGGCATGTTTTTGATACTGTACCTGGATGATTTTCTCTTCATCCATAAATCTAAAATTGTATGCAAAAAAAAAAAAAAAAAAAAAATATGACGGAGGCTGTTGCAATTTTGGAACAGCTTGGCTTCATTATAAACTATCAAAAGAGTATACTACTTGCCACCCAGAGATGCAAATATTTAGGTTTCATTATTGATACGATGGATTTTTCTTTGAATCTAACAGACAAAAAGAAAAGTCACATCGTACAACTGGTGAGCAAACTTAAACGCGGGAAAGCATATGACATCAGAAAATTTGCTAAACTGTTAGGTACCTTAGCATCAGCCTGTCCAGCAGTATCATATGGACTTATTCATTGCAAACGTCTCGAACAACAAAAATATTTAGCGCTGAAATTCAATGGTGGAGATTATGACGGAAAGATTTGGATTCTAGAGTCAATGTTAGAAGAGCTTACTTGGTGGAGACAAAACGTGGTTATTGGAACCAATCCAATTCGAACTCAGCTCTATGCCATAGAAATATTTTCCGATGCCTCACTGTCAGGTTGGGGTTGTTATTGTAACAGCTCCAAGGCGTTTAGGGTTTGGGATGAGCACGAAAGGTCACATCACATTAACTATCTTGAGCTATTAGCTGCCTTTTTTGCAATAAAATGTTTCGCGGCAGGGTTATCACACGCCGAGGTTCTGCTTAGACTGGATAATAAAACCGCTATTGCATATATTAATAAAGCGAGAGGTGTCCAATTCCCGCATCTTAGTAAACTTTCCAGAAAAATTTGGAACTGGTGCGAAGCAAAGAAATTATGGTTGCAAGCGTCTTATATCCCTTCGGCCGAAAATATAGAGGCTGATAGAGCATCGCGTAATGTGCATATCGATGCGGAATGGGAACTATCTCAATCTGCTTTTCAACAAATTGCGCATCAGCTGGGACCTTTTTCAGTAGATCTATTCGCCTCCAGATTAAATGCAAAATGTGAAACATTTCACGCCAGATTCCCTGATCCGGAAGCGGCAGCTATCGATGCGTTTACCATATCGTGGACAGGCAAAAGTTTTTATGCGTTCCCGCCTTTCGCACTCATTCTGCGTACATTACGAAAAATAGCACAGCCACACAAAAAAAAAAAAATTTCTTTGGCCTGGGGATCAGACCATGTTTATTATATGTTTTTGGGGTCGCTGAATCCGAATCCGAGATCCATTAAACCCCATCGGGTCGGAGTTCCGC